TATGTTAATTTGAGATAGAGACTTAAATGCTTAAATGGAAGTTGCACTACGTATTAAGAATTATGCTCTTTTATCTTTCTTTTTATAAAAAAATCGAAATCAATGCCATTGATACTTACTATGAAAGTAAAGAAATCTGGAGTTCATGGTTTAAATGAAAAAGTTCTTCAATTTATTATAAATAATCTCATGTGGGATTGTACACGTACAGTTTAGTGACATAAGTAATAAGAATATATTGTTTTTACAACTTATATTTATAAAGTTAGAGTAGTAAATTTAATGCAAAAGACAATTCGAACGGTTGTTAGCTGAGTCCCACTGAAGCTTACGCAAACAAAGGTTGAAGACACATCCCTCTTTTTACGTGAGCTTTACGCCCTTTATTTTGAATAAAGAGTCTTTCAACATCATCTGTTAATAGAGGGTTAGTGAGTAAAGCGCGCAAGGGAGGCTGTAGCTCTATTATTATATATATTACATAGTTGTTTGTGTATGTCATTCCACACAGCCCCGAGAACCCCCACAGACCCCCGTTGAACCATCACCTAAATAAGGTAAAATTCCGTCGTTTCCACCCTTATTCCGGCTTAGCCCATTTTTGTCCAGCCCTCCCCCCATCACAGACCCTAGTGCCTCTTCTCACAAACTCCCTACCACCATCCCACAGAATTTGTCTTTGTTGATATAGTAATTGTTTCTTTAATGATGTCATTGATTTAGAATACTTAATTTTGATGAGTGATATGAGATTTATATTTAGATTTTTGATAAACCATTTTTACTCAACCATCTTCTAATTCATAGAGATACAAAATTTTGCATAACTTTTCGTTAGATTGATGAATGAGTAATTTTTATTTTTTATCAAAATACCTAATGGCTATCGAGCTTTTTCAATTATTACAGGGATAACTTTAAATGCTCCATAAACAATTTGAAGTTTAAAAAGCTTTAAAAAACGATAAATTCACGCTCAAGTAATTCAACAAAATATTAAATTGATTTAAAATTATCCAGGTAAGGAAAAAAAAAAAATCCATCAACGGGAAAAATGACGTGACTTTTTTTTACGAGGTATACACAAATGATACCATATTACACACCCATAAGAAGTCATTAAATAATAAGCTCGTTTTGTCACAACATCACAAATTCACAAAGACAACAATTATAAATATGTATAAAAAAAAAATATCTACGAGTAAAAGAGATATTTAAAAGAAAAAAAGACATATTGTGTACAGCTCGTTACTTACGCTCCGTACTCCGTTACGCGGTAGCGCTTCGACTTCCTCATCAACTCCAGTTCTACAAAAGATCATCAATTACGATTAATCAAATGTATCGTTCAATTTCACTCGGTACAAAGCAAAAGCACTATATCTCTGTAAAAAAAAAGCTTCAAAATTCAACACACGCCAGCTACCTTCTGCAAAGATCCAGAAGACTCGCATTTTATGCTGTTTTAGTTATTTAATAAAACATACAAAACCCGAACGAGCGAGAAAACGCCAGGAATTTTGACTCACGGTATGTTGAACCAACTGAGAAACTGCGAGGCCATGCCGCCCTGGAATATCACCGTGAGTATGACGATGAGACTCGTGGTGGTCAGCATAGCCTGGCGTGCTTCCGATACCGTGTTTCGTATCGCCAGAGCGAAACTCATGGCACCTCGTAGTCCAGCAAAGAACAGCATGTGCTGGAAATTCATGGGGATCTTGGGCTTCCGGCCGAGATTCAGGAGGAACGACAGGGGGTACACGTTTGCTGCTCTGCCCAGCAGTGCGCACAACTGTTTCATAACTCGTTAAGGACTCTTTGTTTAAATATCATACGCATATATGTGTACGAAAATAGTTTGATAATTATTTAATTATGTGCTATCTGGTTTTCTTCATTTTTCCAAGGTAAAAACATAAAAGTGCAATTAGAAATTCAGGACTCCGTAAACGTAGCGCACCGTAATTTCGATCTTACGTAAAATGCATTTCTAAGGATAACGTAAATTATCATCGAGTATTTACGTAAGCATCGCGTTAATGCAGATGGTCATAATTGCATCCTCACACTTGTATTTACGGCTTGTTTTAAATTATACATCTATCATGGCAACGTGAAAGTATACAGCCGTATATTATTGCAAATTTTCAAAAGCATTTCGTAATATATTTCTTTGCGATCGTTTTTCAATATAAGTAGTTCTTCTTCCAAAAAAGGATACAAATCCTGAAACAACGAAGCCCAAGTCGAAGTGATGCTTGGGAAAGGTGAACATCGACACGCCTATGTAGCAAAAGATGAAGTTCTCGGCTAGGAAGTTGAGCAGCTCGAATAGCTGTTTCGTTCGTTGCCGAGAATCGGTACTCAGATTGTTGTACGTGTAGTGGGCTTGGCATATTCCGCAGAACAAGACCGCAACAACACCTGTTGAATTTATTCACCGTCAACGAATTTCGTTACAAAGTTATTTCTTGCATTTATTTATTTATTTTTTTTTTTTTNTTTTTTTTTAGTTTGTAATTAAAAACAGATCACGTTGATCGATTAAGTAGTCAAAACAATATTTCGTAAAGTGCGATTAGCGCTGAGAAACGTAAATCGAGCACGCGGCTTATCTCCGTGGCACTTGTATGACTCACTAAAGTAGACGATAAGTCGTATAAATAAGTCGTGAAAATTATACAGTCTCGCTCCTGTTATCTTGAATCCCAGCCAGCGACAAATATGTTAAGAAAAAAAAACAAAAAAACAAAAAAAAAAAAACTTGCCAGTAAGATCAGAGGCCTCGGCGATGAGGAACGTGCTGTAGGACATGAGCACGAACAGGGCCGACTCGAGAAGCGGGAAGTCGCGCACCCGCGTGTACTTGGTCATCAGGGCCGTGGTGCAGCCCATCGTGGCGCCTATGAACAGCGACAAGCTGAAGATACCGACAAAGTCGCCCAGGGCCTGGAAAAACGCCGCCGCTTCGAACGCGCTCGAGCCTTTCGTGGCGTAACGCTCGCCGTAATTCTGTATAGCACTGGACAAAGTTTGTAGACAACAACTTAATATTTTTTGGAATTTTTTAAATTATTTTTTTGATTTTCACGCAGGTTACTTCATCAAACGAAGCGATGCTATGATACAGGGTCGACTCACCCGCTAAGTACAATGGCCACGGCGTCGTTGAGCACGCTCTCGCCGAAAACGAGGGCGTACAGATTCACATCGACGTGGAGATCGTTAAAAATGGATATAATGGTGAGGGGATCGGTAGGCGATATGAGAGCGCCAAAGTACAAAGTGTCCAGGAACGTGAACGACGTGGAAAAGTTTGGGATCAGCTTCAAAAACGCGTACATCAGCGTCCTGGAGTAGAAAAACAAAAAAATTAATGTGGGTGTATTACACCTACAGGCACTGGGTTTCGTTCCCAGACGATAGGTATACACTTACCCGATAACGAAAGACGATACCGTGGTACCGATGAGCGCGAACATCAGTATCGCCCCGAGGTTTCGAAAGAAGTATTTCTGAAATTTATAATGAATTACGTCACAATGGCAATCAGGATCCAGTCGATTTATTTTTTCAACGCTTGGTTGCGAGGTGTCAAAACCATTTGCACTGCGGATGAAATGTAAATTGTTTTTCTTTGTCATTTCGATTGAGTTAAAAAAAAAAATTGGTGAATTCATGAAAACCATCGAAACAGTTTCCCGCGTAAAAATAAATTAATAAAGTAATAAGGGACCTAAAAAAAATTCCCTACTTAAATGACACTTGGTCCATGGAAAAAAATTCTTTGAATTTTTTTTCTTCTTTTTTTCTTTCATCTAGAAGCATTAGAAACGACGCTGGAAACTTTCAACGGCACTATTTATCAGCAGTGACACGAATTGAGTATAGACTGTTGTTTTATTACTTTAGAAAATATTTCTCCTACACGCAAATGGATTTACTCGTCGCAAACAAAACGGGCGCATTTGCACTCGTTGCATATTTAGATACACATGTTTATCAACTTACCCTCTTTAAGCTGTAGCCGGCGTAAAAAATTATAGGAGGCAATATTATGTTAAAAAATATTTCTGGATCGAACGTGGCCTGCAACGTGAAGAAAAATTCGAAATTAGTTTTTTTTTTTTTTTTTTTTTTTTTTTTATATCGATATAGGTTTGAAAAAAAAAAGGAAAAAAAAGAGGGAAATAAAATAGTTGTGTCCGCACCTTTTTATCGATTTCGCTGTCCTGTTTGTAAATTTCACCACGAAACCAGTAGGCGAACGTTTTGTTTTTAACCGTACCGCTGATGTTTTCCTGCATGTTGATCCATAGTAAGTCGGGCGGTATTGTTCTGTTACTGTCGAGGGGATCCGCGGGCACGACTTGCAATTTTTCGATCGACGAACTGAACGAGTAGCCATACCGAATTATCGCTCCTACAATCAGACCTTAAAATACAAAATTATACGTTTTTCTTTATACGTCCGCTGAACGAGTGCTTTCATTCAGTACTAAAATAAACAAATAAACGGTGTATAAATATACATATATGTACTTAGAATCATCAGTTTTAAAACAATCAAAAATCTGGAATGTTCAAGGGGGGAAAAAATAAGAAAGGCACATACTTATTATATCATATACGTAACAAAACAAGTGTGACTCGAAAGTTCAATTGTTGTTGGAGTGCGGATTTCATTACGTCCGCGGTCACAGCAGCTTTTTTTTATTTTTTTCTCTTACATAACACAAACACTGTTTTCGAGAGGGATAGCGAGGGAGCATGTATAGTGATTCCCAGCAACAGTATACGTGCATTGCAGTGATTGAGTGCATTTGTGCAATTAATATTACCTATATGTATGGTCAGCAAAAAAAAAAAAAAAAGAAAAAAAAAAGCTTTCACTTGGCGCAAAAAAAGAAGAGAGTAACAATATAACGAGCACAAAACAATGATAAGGGGTAAGTACGTATTGTTGTAAGTGTAAGTGCTCTGTATGCGCGCACTTGGAGAAACTTTTGAATGTATATATATATAGAAGAGGTGATAAGGATAAGGGGCTCACACGTATTCATATACGCATGTAAAATTAAACGTGCAACTTACGTTTGAATATAAAATGAACTCGGTGTACCTATATACCTATGTTGTACCTATATAATATAAATGATACTTGGTGATGATCGGAACGGTGTCAGGAGTACGAAGGTCAGCGAGAGAGGGAGAGATTTTACGATGTTAATTTAGACGGAATGATGCGCTTGATCCTATCATACCAATTTATCTATATTTATATGTAGGTATATACGGATATGATCGAGTCTGATGAGAATAACGTGCGTTGGACACCCAATTTGGTCTTTATTCGTATACGTATCTAGATATACATATTAGCTGTAGATGTACAAATGCGTACATAATATATTATATACTGAAGTCAAGTTGATTGAAATTTACATGGATTGCACGCATTGAAATTTTACCGGGAGGCGGAGATGCTGATTGCGATAAGTATCAGAGTGTTATCGAATTCGGTGCACGTGGCTGTTGTTGTTTTGTTATCTTTTGATTAATTTACTTTCTTCCCTCCGTTCGCAAAGAATATATTACACGGAGTTTAAAGGGTTGAGATGATTGAGCAAAACAAGGAGGATACAATATTATTAATGTGCATTACAATTTTTTTTTTTTTTTTTATTTTATTTTAGAAAATTGGGCCCTTGATGTTTACTTGTTACTTTACATTTAAAAGGATCACTAAATTTTTGTATAAGAATTTTTATTACGAAAACAAAGGTCTGCCATTGTTTAAGCCAACATAATTATACTGACTAGGTTGCCATTGAAAACACGTGACGATGAAAAACGTATACAGACTAGTTATTTATACAACTGTGGAGGAAAATTGAAAAAAAAATAAACGAATGCCATTGTGATGATGTAGTACTACAATTTGACATTTAAAACTATGAAACTTTTATAAACGTCTTAACTCGCCAAAACAGATGGTACATAAAAATAAAAGAAATCGTTAGAACAAAAAAAAAACTCTTCTAAATAGAAACAATGAAATTTACCATAGATGACAGCAAGTCCAGTCTCGTGCAGGAACCTGAGCCTCCTGTGTTTGAAGGTCCAGACAGTTAGTACAGTGGCTGTTAACAGTACCGTGTAGAGCAGCAAGTTCAAGCTATCAAGCCTGTGCAGGGATTGATACTTCGAGTCAAGGGCAATGTCAGTTGGATCCCCCTCGCAGCCCCCAGCTCCCAGGAAGAGCAAGAGGGCCAAGATCCTCTTGCTCGATAGGGACAACATTTCACCCACTCACGCACTCACGAGACTTTCAAGTAAACATACGCTCGTAGCCTTATCGAAGATCCTTGGCTATTGACACGCCATGGATTTTATGTTATTCTTTTCAAAGATCGATAATGAGATATATCACTTGTAACGCACAGTTATGGCACTCACGTCGCGCTTGCCTCGGCACTACTGTTCGAGTATATAATACAAAGGCAGGTATGATGTCTCTTGCCTCCTACTTTTTTTCCTCGATAACGTCTCCCACCATGACAGAATGGTATAGCAATACTTTTCTTCCTTTTCTCCTCGTTCGTTGTACGATGTCTGGCTATCACATTGTATACTCAAGTATCCATTCGTCACCGATTTTCTTTTTATCAGTACCTAACTATAATACTTGTATATATATATAATGAGCAATGTTTTTTTTTATATACTGATGATGATGCATCGTGATGACGATCGGCTGCTACAGCAGACAGGCATTGCAGAAAAGAGAAAAGCAGACGCGCGCGCACGCCGCGCGGTGACACGGCGACAGCTGACGTCAAAAAGCTTTTTTTTCGGAGCGCCAAAAATACAAATGCGCGTATGCACACAAATGCAAAAATTAATGCACTGTAATAGAGATATTATAGATAGAAAGGTAGCTCGATGTTGCATCTCTTTTTATGCCTACTTACCTTACATGTATTACAAAGCGTGATGACCTGATAAATGAGTTGTAATTTTGTAAATATTGTCGATTTTATGAGCCATATAAGATAAGTAGAATATTGATGGTTTTGGATTTCGATTTTAAGGTAAAAGATAAATTGTAAACTTGCCGCAAGTAGCACAAAAAATGTTATCTTTTTATTATCTATCTATTTAATTTGTTGCGGCTGGTTTATAACTAATAAAGTGACTTTACTGTAAGTAGCAATAGCAATAATTATTTTGGATCAGCGCCATCTAGCGGTCTTTATTTTTTGGCCAAAAGTGGCTCCTAAAATTCTCAAACAGAGCATTCAGGATTTGAGCCATTTAGTCAATTACAAACCAGCCGCAACTCATGATAAAGCTATAAAATAAAAAAATAATAATACATGTGTTTATGGCGGCAAGCTAACAATTTATCTTATGCTTGAAAATTTATCTTCAAAAGTATGAACACATATGAGGTCAATTTTTTGGTAGAAAAAAGATTGTTAACTTGCCGCCAAAGACACATGTATCGTTATTTTTTTATTATATAGCTTCATCATGAGTTGCGGCTGGTTTACAATTGACTAAATGGCTCTAAGCGCTAAAGCTCTAGTTCAAAAGTTTAGGGCTACTTTTTAGTTCAGAAATTCGCAACGCTAGATGGCGCTGATCCAAATAACTATTACTTTTTACATTAGAGCCATTTAATTAATTATAAACCAGCTGCAACTAATCTCATAAATAGATAGTAAAAAGTTGACGTAGTTTGTGCTGTTTGCGGCAAGTTTACAATTTATTTTTTATTCAAAAGTCGACCTCTAAAAATATAGATATTCATATGGTTCAATAAAATCGACCATATGGCATTACTTAATAGTAATTACTTCAATTACTACACATAACTTCACGTACATCTTACACCGTGCTCTTTTTACCAGAATGATAAAATCAGAGGCTGTAAAGTTATAACCGGAAAACACCCAAGAACGACTACTGGCGAATCCCTGCTATACCGACCGTGCATGCACCAATTATCAATACGGCAGATTCCAAATGTGCCCTTACGTACCGACCCTTTAATGTCGGTATAGCAGGTATATTACCTGTCCATCGATATGACAGGACCCTGCGACAAATTTTTTACCGGCAGTTTTTCTTTCAATCCTTTATACAGGGTCTACCGGAGCCGCTTCAATAGACCCTCTGCTACGGGAACTGGCGGGTCTACCGGAGCCGCTCCAATAGACCCTCCGCTAAGGACATTAGTGAATTTATAGGAAGTGAGCATATGGTCTACCGGGGCCGATCCAATAGACCCTCCGCTACGGGGACAATGAATTTATAGAAAGTGAGCATATGGTCTACCGGGGCCGCTCAGACTCTCCGCTACGGGAACTGGTGGGTCTACCGGAGCCGATATAATAGACCCTCCGCTATGGAGTACTCCATACTATGGACATTAATGAAAACCATAAAAGGATCGAGTGGACTCCTCCGTCACTCTGTGGGGTGGTGTGACACTTGGCGAGGGAGGAGAGTGTGGCGCTGGAGACGTGGAGACGCCATTTTTGGGACCGCTTGAGTGCGAGCGAAGCGGCAGTGGTGGACACATCTCCGTCGTGGAGGGGGCGGGGATGCTGATATTGCTGATGTGCAGCAGAACAGCAGTACAGCACAATACAACACAAAAAAAAGCACTATAGAATAGCTTCCGCACAAGAACAATTACCATTATAATGGTATATTACCTGTCGCGAAAGCGTCAATTATCCGAATCCGGCGGACAATCGTTTTATTCAGTCCATTCGATGAATATGTATGTTGTGCTAAAGCAGCGAAACTTGATGTTTCTTCTTCGTCATAACAATATAATGTAATGGTTCGGAGCGGTGTTACGTGAATGAAGTGTATTTCTTCGTCAGCTAAATATGTCGTTGATGTTGGTAATAAACTTTGAAGTTTAAGAGATGAAGTGGAAAAGAAAACAAGTCATGGTGGCAATGAGAACGCAACTGGAGAACAGGTACTCGAATTGCCTGTGCCGGTACAGGACGTTCTTTGTACTGGGGCTGGTGTTTTTCTGTGTACAGATTTACCTGGCTTGCACTTATTTTCCACACGCCAGCAGCAAGAAACACCATCACTCTGGCAGAGCTTTTCCTGATGAGGTACGTTGGCTGTTTTTGTTATCCCCTTTTGATTGTGAATTAAATTTTTCATACATAATCTGGCAATTTTTATGAAATAGCACGTATTCTCTCTTTACAGGATGCTTTGACTAGAGACGAAGAAGAGGAAGGCCTGTTAGAAGGTACTCGCCAATTAAAACTGCCACCAGATAAACGTGGTAACTCCAACAGTGCTTTAAATCACAATCGGTCCTCAAGAGTTAAACTTGATAGCAAAACTCTTAATTTCACGCCAATGTGTGAAGTTACAGGTAAACAAAAATTTTTGTTTGTTTGATTATCTCATCAATTGTATCATCTAGTCATGCATTTACACTGTTCAGGCAGAGAAGCAGTGAGTGCCATATCGCGAGCCCATAGTCAAATGTGCAAGGAGCGCATTGTCAATGTGACGTGCCTTAGCCAGCAGAATCTGCTGTATCCTACAAAGTTGCAGTCTTCCTGTCCACACTCGTTGGGCTTTACTGGCGCACCTAGGAGCCTAGGCTGCTTTAGAGACGACAAGCTGTCCCGGCTCTTGCCCCACTATTACACCGTTTTCAAGACTAATAACTCTCCAGAGCACTGTGCGCACATGTGTTTGCAGTCTGGCTATTCTTATGCCGGTGTTGAGTACTCGTGAGTTTTTTTTTGTCGGCAAAGAAGTAACATTCGAAATGTGGTGTACCATTTGAATTGTATTTTATTTTAGAATGGAATGTTTTTGTGGTAAAGAGAAGCCGTCAAAGATTAACTTGTTATCAGACTCTAGTTGTAACATGAAGTGTCCTGGTGATCCTAAACAGCGATGTGGTGGATACTTGACCATTAATGTATTTTCTACAGGCATCAAAAGTAAGCTATTTCCAGGTATTTTAACAATCAAATGTCTCTTCTGGATATTAACAAAATATTTTTGTGTATTTCAGGGTTCAAGTCACACGAAGCTAAAAATTCAAGTTCAAAGAACACATTAGACGAGTCTATCAGAATTGCTTATTTATTAACTGTCAATGGCAGAGCTAGTCGGCAAGTCAAACGCCTTATCAGTATTCTTTATGACCCCTTACATTTATTTTACATACACGTAGACGCTGTAAGTATCTCAAAATACAAAAACCTGAAACGTACAGACAGGAAAGAAATGCAAAAATGTTATCTTCACTTGTAGCGTCAAGACTACATGTATCGCGAGATGCTGGAGGTGGAGAAAAAGTGCAAGCTCAGTAACATAATAGTGGCCAAGGGCCCAGATCTGAGGCACGCGAGCATCTGGGGTGGTGCAAGCTTGCTGACGACTTTCCTCACGTCGGCCCATCAGATGCTGTTGCGCTCAAAAAACTGGGACTTTCTCGTTAATCTCTCGGAATCCGACTATCCCATAAAAACGAATGCACGTCTCATAGAGTTCCTCGGCTGGAATCGTGGCATGAACTTTGTCAAGTCACACGGCCGTGAGGTACAAAGGTTCCTAACGAAGCAAGGCTTAGATAAGACCTTCGTCGAGTGCGAGGCGCGCATGTGGAGAGTGGGCGATCGCAAACTGCCCCATGGCATCCAGATCGACGGTGGCAGCGACTGGGTAGCCTTGTCACGGGATTTTGTCGAGTACATAGCTCAGCCACATCCCGACGAGCTGATCTCTGGACTGCTTAGTATATTCAAGTACACCCTACTGCCAGCAGAATCGTTTTTCCACACAGCCCTGAGAAATTCACGATTCTGCGATACATACGTCGATAACAATCTCCACGTAACCAATTGGAAAAGAAAGCTGGGCTGTAAGTGCCAGTACAAGGCTATCGTGGACTGGTGCGGCTGTAGTCCGAACGATTTCAAGGTGGAGGATTTTGGTAGGATAAAGAACACCGTGAACAAAAGCTTGTTCTTTGCCAGAAAATTCGAGCCGGTTATCGATCAGAGAATCATCGACAGGGTCGACCAGTGGCTCTACCCAGAACGAGCGAATGCCTCTGGTTCAATGGTAAAGACGTTTTCTCGAACTATGTACTTTTCTCGTCTCATCCATTAATGCTTCTTTAATTCGTAACATTTGCAGTTCATCAAAGGTTCAAACGCCTACTGGCAGAGCTTGTACCATCACGAGGATGTGAGCCCGTTGGTGGACGATGCACTGCTGACGGTCTCAAGTTCCCTGGCCCGACTCGTCTATCGGCGTATTGGTGAGCCGTTCCGCTCGGACGTTGCGGGGGGTGTACATCTGCTCGAGAGTACGGCCTACTTTCGTGAAAATCGCTTCGTCGGGGTTCTGGTACGTGCTACCGTTGATCGGTTCGCAGTCGAGTCTTCGACGCCGGTGAGTACATTTTTTTCACAGCCAGTGATATAAATCACATATAAAAAAAAAAAATTCTCTTTATTCCGAAAAATTTTTTCAAAAGATTTATCCCACCCTTTCTGCTGTTGTCTTTACACTGTAAAATATGTATTATCAACTTGATTCATTCCTCTTTGACAAGCTATCGTTACCTGCAGTTTGTCTTTGCCGCACGTCCTCCGTCAATAACGTCAGAATAAATCCTATCAGTAACAGTACAAAAAAAAATACGTACGCCACGACGTCGTTGTAGTATAACAGTAGTTTATCGGAAATCGTTATCGTTAAGGCAGTGAACAATTGATTTCCCAGTAGTAAAACTGCGATGCTGAAGCTTTCCGATACTGGATACGATATTTCGACGGATAATTCGAAGCTGATTGGATTATAGCCAAAGCCAAATAATCTGAAAATTGTATTAATATTGTTAAAGTACGACTGGGAAATGAACCTAGTACTTACGTAAAATGGATGGAAAAAACTGTACCCATATATACCAGCTGCTGCGAAAATAGCCCATTTCACTTCGAAGTAAAAGCAAGTCGCAAGCGTTACGAGACTCAAAATACATCCCGCATACAGAGAAACAGCTATGACTCTAAAAAAAAAAAAGTATTAAAAAAAGTTATACTCACGTAGAGCCACGTTACTTTGACCAACTCACTTGAATTTTTTAGTCCTATCCAAGATTCTGCTGAAGAGTAGAGCCCCCGCGAGTCCACTCAAAATAATGATCAACCCGACTTTGCCCACGTCTCTCTCCCCGTTCTAAAACCATCAATTCTTTTCATTAAAGTTACAAGCGGCTTAGCAAGCAAACGTCAAACCAGACACTCACCTTAAAATGCATCATGTAAAACGCGTTGATCGAAGAAGTCACGGCCATCAATTGGCCAACAAGTAAATTTTGTGCCATCCATAGTAAAAAGTAATTCTTGTTCTTGAAAAGCCGACCAAGAGAACTCCAGAACTTGGTGTCCTCGGCTTTGCTGAGCTTTTGTAGGGCCCTGGATTTGCTTGGCGATAACTTTGGCTCCTCCTCGAAAACTACAGCAAACACGACAGGCAGCTACAATGTTTCCATTTTAGAAAAAAAAAGTCACCAATATATTTACACATAAAAATGAAGACCGCGATGCAGGTGCAGTATATCGCGTGAGGTAGCAGTAGACTCCTCAAGTCGCCGGTGATCTCGTCGATGTTCTCGTGCATCCTGACGACGATCGGCATGAGAAAGGACATGAGCGCCATACCGACCTTAACGCCGATGTAGCCCATTGCTGTGGCAGTGGCGACTTCGGCAGGGCCGAACCAGCGCGCTGCGAGTCCTCCGGGCAACGATATCACAAACACCTGCCAGCCACCGACGAGCGTCTGGCCCAGCATAGTCAGGGCAAACCGATCGGGTGCCGTCGCCAAATACTTTATCCACGTACCGATGCACGTGGATACGGAGGCCAGCATCATCGTGCGTCGGAGACCCCAGCGGTTCATCACCAGCGTACACGGGTATATCATTATCGGCACCGACAGGTTGAACACCATCGCTGTACCCTTCACGGCTAGGGTCGACACGTTGTAGTATCTGCATTTTCCGCATAGAAAACGAGGAAAATTCAAACAGTTGTAAAAACCAACGATAAAATCGGCACCGGGTGCACTTACTTCGTTATGACATTGAGTATCATGGTGTACTGCAGGTACTGGGCCTTGTTTCCAAGAGTGAAGAAGATAAAAATCACCAAAATCACCCATCTTTTCCTGTAAACCCTTATTTGCAAGGCGTCCTCCGGTTTTTTTTCTTCCTCGCTCTTACCGTCCACGAGTTTCTCATTGGCGCCGATGAAAGATTTCGTCTCCAGCTCAAAGTTTTTCACCGTCATTTTGTTTTTCGCTCACCTGACACCGAATTTAATACTCGTTGTACACCGTACCGGCATTGACCTTCGCTTTGTATACCCTTTCAAAATCACTTTAGTTGCAAGCCCAAATTTTTCAATTTCAAACCCGAAAGACGCGGCGCCAGGCAGTCGTTTGATCTGCCGAGTGGCGAACGCGGCATAGTCAACTCGAGGAGATAAAAATATACCTGCAGATAGTGTAGATTATAAATATTTGTTGAGCGTTTATGGTCTGTAAATTACTCACTCTCATTTACACCCTCGTTATTTGGCGAGTTTAATACGCTTCTTGAATTTGCTAGTGCTGCTTCTTTGGGCTACATAATTCGCTTCATTTTCATTGGAGGTGCACAATATTCCGAGTGCGGAGCAGTGGTAGTAGCTTTGCACATTTTACATATTTACACACATTCCACAATAATTTTTACTGTTTGTGTGTGTGGTTTATTTTTTTACTCCTTTTTTGACGATAAGTTTTAAAAAATTATTTAGCCCGTGCAATAAATTTGAGGATATTATTGTCGTCGTATCTATGATTATGACTTATTTTTCAATATTAATATTTTTTCTTCTTTTACATATTAATTTATAGTTGACATAACTTACGATATGTATGTGTATAAACATTAAATTTAAAATAAAAGCCGAATTCACACTCTAATCTGATCATACACTATTAATATTGGATGATTTTACATCAATTAATTATTACGTTTTAATCGCATCCTTGTCGTCATTTTTTACTATTGTCTGTGAGGATAAATCTCTTTACACGCTGTTTACCACTTGTAAATTATACTTATAGGAATGTCCCTGTACTATACACGGAGATCATATAAATTAATCGTAAGGCAGGTCAACTAGGGGTAACAGTGCGTGTTAATGTCATGCCTTTATTTCGCCTCGTAAAAATTCTGAAAACAAAGTCGATCATAAGTGGAAATGATTGCAGCAAAACGATTTTCCCGAACAATTGGAAGCTCTAGTCCAGCCCAGGCGCAACCTGTCGACCAGCAAGCTGTGGCTGAACAAAATCTTACTACTAACCGTGAACACCGAGTACGATCAAAAGGAGCAGATTTTCCGCAATTTCCTGACTGCCATGGGCCCCCTGTCCGAGCCGGTGCTCGCGTACGAGTTCGATGCCGATCTGCCGAAATCGCTGCCGCTGAACATCACAGTCGCCTGGATCGATCCGCTCGACAGACTAGCCGAGATCAATTACTTACTGGTCGACGAGGTATCTCTGGTGAGAGTCTCTTTGGCCTTGATTCGCATTACCCAAAAGCTTGCAACTCTTGATTTAATATTTCCTTTGGATAAAAATACCTCGGTGAAAAAAATAAGTCCCTTATGTCATAATGTTGTACACATGCATGATGTTTTTTTTACAAAAGTCCGGGCACCTAAAGCCGCAGCTGATCGAGCCGCTGTCCGTCGGTTTCTGGCACATCTTCCTCGTGCTCGAGTCCAAAGTCGTGGCGAGCTTGAGTTTCCTGGTAGCGCCGCTGAGCCACTGGAGGAACCGGCCCATTGGCTACGAAAAATCCCGCGAGCTCAACTACGGGCCCACGAGCCCCTTTCGCGTGTCCAGGAAAGCTGCCGAGCGCTGGCTCGAATTTCTCAGGCCACACATTATCAATACCAAGCGGGCGACGACTCGGCATCCGACCGAGGTAAGACTGTACTTTGTTTTACTTTTGCTTGGATCCCAAAAATTCCTGTTTTAATTCATCATCACTGGTGTCTATAGCTCCATAGGATTCCGATAATTTTAATAACGTACCCCCCATCTCTTTCCCTTCCTCGTGCAATGTCGCATAATTGACTGCACATCCCCAACCCAGATCCATTGAACCAATGGTTGTCGTTGCGTTGCATAAGCTTTTATATGCATATAGGTACTGATAGGCTGGCACCTGGAGCGCTGGGTCGACAGACTGATAGCCGAGCACTACGAGATCACCAAGGTGTGCGACGCTAGCGAGGACAGGCGTAGTACATTGCGCAAGCTGAGAAAAAGCCCGAGTCGGCCCATGTCTCGCTGCATTTCCACAGACTGGAGCTCCCTGGCTCCGGATCTCAAGTCGGACGTGCGTAATTTATGCCCGAGTTAACGTGAGATTATCACCGTCTGACCTCGTTATCGTGCTGTATTGTTGCGAACGTGCTTATATCAATAAGATGAGCTTTACTGCAGCCGTCGTTTACGAGTATTAAATTGATGATGTGACAGTATTTTTCTTTTCTCTCGTTGTTTGGGTGATTTATCGCGGATGAGTTGAGGAATAATTGAGAGGAATAATTTCTTTTTTTTTTTTATTGAGGTAAGAATGCTGCTAAGAATTTTTTAAAACGTTTTCGCGTGAGACCGTTGTCTCCGTTCATACTGATAACAACGATACATTTTTATCGTTCGCAATGACTGATGGGTTCATGAGGAAAAAATTAAGTGGTGATTTCGCATAATCACGACTGACTGTGCACGTAACGGTAACACTGTTTTTTCTCTACCTGGCTACTATTGAATGTGTTTGTTTTTAAAATCTAGAATATTACTGAAAGAATTTCTCCTGCGTTCTCTATGCATCTAATGTACTCGAATTTCGGATTAATTGTGAGTCACGCACAATATGATTATTATGGGTAAAAGTTTGATTCTTGATGTGAGATTTTTTAGACTATACAGCGCATTTTGAATGACTGTTCAATTTTTTGAACTTAAATCGTTAGACTTTTGACTTTTGAATAAAAATGATGTTTAAAAAGTTTTTGGATCAGTTGATTTTTTATTGAAAGTTAATTATTTGTGTATTAGGTAAATCAATACCACCGATATTCGATTTCAAAACTATCACATAGTTAACTTAGGTGTTGATATAGTTACGTCAAATTTTTTAAAAATTTGATCTTCAATGAATCGGCGCGATTTATTGTTATCAACGTATGTCGAGTGTTTACAGACATAAAAAAAGGTAATGTGAATTTTGTATGCGTTTAACCTGCTTTTATTATGATAAAAATTACGACGATTACGAAGACGAATTTCGTATTTTTAAGTGTATCAACAGCACTACGAGCAATAATTCGTAATAATTACATTTATAGATGTGTATAATTAATTTTAAGGCTTTTATTGAAAAGTTTATAAATTTTACAAATGCGTATTTTTGGGGTTTAAATTTAACAAACTTGTGTTTGTTACTGACTGAAGGATATCTAAAAAAATGAAAGTCATTATGATCTCTGGTTGACAATAATTGTTACGAAATTAATTGACGGTTATCCTATAACGATCGATAATATTGCCGTGTCCCCGTATGCAATAATTTCAGGAAATCAACAGAAAACTGTACCTTTTCTGTACTTGATTAATTTTTTTCATATTTTTTAATGTGTATGCTTTTATACATGTTTCACGTAAAATATTTATTTATTTTTTTAATTTAATATCTGTTTATGTTTGCAAGAACTGCGAACAAACAAGAAAAATATCATTTGAAATTCAATGAGAAAATCCAGTCCCTAATGTTTATGAAATCATGTGCCATTCCTTATATTATCGCTGCGTATATATAACGCATCTTTGAAAAAACGATGTCGTTTCGAATAAAAAAAAATATTTTTGTATCATCTTGTAAATATTATATTGATATTAATTCGATCTTCATAAATATTTACAATTGATATACTCTAATTATATTTGAATTGATCTATTTAAATATAAACAAATAATAAACGGTTCAACGTTCAAACTTTGATAAAAGATAATATTTTACATGTATATTAACGTGTATTTTATCGTATGTATATCGTTAAAATTGAGAATTCTCAATATGATAATAACAATAACAGAATACTCTTCGTCATAAATAAAAATTTTTCCAAAGATTAACGTGAAGGTAAAAATAAATTAATGAAAGATTATATCCATCTATGATTCTTGTAAATATTTTATTCAAATAAAAACAAAAGTATGTTAATAAAATTACATCGTGCAATCAACTATATTACCCATACTTTATGTCTTTTCTTCTGTATTTTTTTGTTACATGTCCATCATTTTTGATTTTGTGTTTTGAGAGTGATTGGAGGGCAAAACAAATACCAGTATATTTTATAATTAAATATATTATAGGCTGAACAAAAT